ATTTCTGAGTTTTGATATTTTTCCCAAAATTGGCCACGAGGCGCAGCAAGTTGCGGGACTAGGTGACTTGCACCATAGTAATAAAATTACTTAATTTTAAACCCCCATAACTTTTTATTTTACTAATTAAAAAATCTCTCTATTACATTGTTGCTTATGTTCCAAATATTACAAAAATAGAAAGATTTTTATGGACCAACAAATATTTCCAAAGTTATCAGGGTTTAAAGATTTGCAATTTTTTTGATGTCTTTAGATGCGGCGCACCATGGGATAAATAATTAATGTGTACACATCGATCAAATCAACAAACTTCTTTTATAAAAAAAAAAAAAAAAGAATAAATCTAATGGTAAAAAAAAAAGCAAACAAAATAATCATGAAGATGCGTTGGCCGTGTTTATCAAAAGAATGGTGGTGGTGGTTATCGCCACTTGCCGTCACTCTAGTTGGTAATAAAATTAAGAATTCTTTTATTTAATTCTTAGCCATTCCCAAGAATCTTGAGAATCTTCGTCTTTTTCAATTGTAAGTAGATTATATAAAATTGATCATTTTATTTTAACAAATTCGAAAGTACTGATTTATTATTATAATTAATCATATAGATTCAAAATATTATTAATGATTTTAAAAAGTTGGTGAGTGACAGGTATGAACTTGAAATTGAAAAAATAAACAATGTATTAGAAGTCAACAATAGAAGAGGTGATTTAGAAGAATTAATAAGAGGTCTCATAACTGATGTTAATAAAGTAAATTTCAATTCATTTGCCATCATTGATTTGTTCATTTTACATTTTTATTTACATTTTTCTTCTAAAATATTACAGTCATTGAAGAGGGGAAGAAGTAGAAGACAGAAAGAAGGTTACGATTTCCAGTAACGAATAAGAGGAAGAGGAAGGAAATGAAGAAAAAAGTCAGGAAGAGGAAGAGGATAATGTTCCATATCGCAACCCAAAAAAGGAAACAAAATGGTCGTAAAGGTGGTTGCAATCATTTTTATATGACGCAAAGATGGTAGCAACCATCATCAAAAGTTGCAGCCGGTATCCTTAGAAGAGGAAGAGGGAGAAAGTCAGAAAGGAAACCAGGAAGAAGAGGAGGAATTCTTTGTGGCAACAACAGTTGAAGACAACATTTTTGAATCAGAAAAAAAGAGAGGAAAAAAGAAATTAAACGTGTCATCAGCAGAATTATCAACTTCAACGGCCACTGCCCCATCATCATCAACCACCAACACTACATCCGGAAAACAACCTCTTGACAATCAAGATGAATCAACAGCTACAACAACAGCCACTGCCCCATCATCATCAACCACCACAGCTACATCCACTACTACATCTTTCTATTACTCGCCATAATTGTCTCCAAACTTCTATATTTCGTTCAAACGGTGTCAACAAGAATTCATCTTGTTCTTGTAAACTATTTTTTTTTTTTTAAAAAAAATAAATTATCTTTTTTTTTTTAAATAGTTTTGTTATTTGTATTTATATTTGTATTTACTGTGCAAGTTTACGTCTCCATCTTAGGAATGATTCTTTTTCTTCATGTTCTAATTGTTCAGGGGTTGTTGATTTATCCCATTTGGGTCTTTTATAGAAAAATTTTATGTAAAATCAGTTTATCAATTTTATTATAATATTAATAAATCAATTTCCTCATCTACTAATTCACCATTCTTTCATTTATGTACCTTCTAGGTATAACCAATCGTTCTTTATTAGCTTCATGTCTTGCCAATGTTTCTTTTTCTTTTTCAGAGCTCAAAAGAAACGGATTCTCATAATGATTTGTCACTACCTTAATATTCAACCTTTCTACAAAATAAAACAAAAAACTATATAAAATTGAATTTATATAAATTTTTTATTTTTTTATTTTTTTATTTTTACCAGCTGTAAATTGTGTTCCTGCTAATTGTGCCGTACTAAGAAATTCATCCAAATCTTTTTGATGTGTTATTGATTGTAAGTTTGTCCAGCTAGGCCCATCGTTTAAGTCAGTTGTATGCTTATTAATAATAATGATGATGATGATGATGATGATGATGATGATGATGATGATGATAATTGGTAATGCAATAATAATAATTAATAATTCTTTTTTTTTAAAGGAACAAAAAAACAGACATTAATATCATGATATCATCACGTTGTTGTATATTACCAATGCAGTATCGCCATCTTTAGGTTTATGACCTTTAAATCTATCTTTAATAATTGTTCTACCGAGGCCAGAGTTCTTCTTAAGTTTTGGTTGTGGCATATTTTTTCTTCGATATTTTTTATTATTATTATCTAAATAATAAATATCTAAAATGATCTGCAACGATTAAAAACAAATTTTAATGCATTATTACGTCTTATTTATTTTGAAATTGGAATTATTTATTCATTTACGTGGATGTATTTTTTACGTGGTTTAATTATAAATAAAAAGGAATAAACTAGCCAAGGTACACTCATCCAGAATAGAAGATCACAATCACCCACTTGATCTCTTAAGAACAAGATAATGAATGGTTCTACACCACACCATTATTATTATCGACATTAGATATTTGGATTTATGTTAACTGGAGGTAATAAATATTAGTATTATTATGGTTGATCGTACTATTGTAATTAATATTAAAATGGATGTTTAATTGATTCATGACGTGATTTATGTTTAAGAAAAATTTTCAAGTCTTTAGATGATGATATGGTAGCATTGGTGGTTTTAATTTTTCTTTCTATTCTTCTCTTTCCTACGATGTTGCCACCTACCCACGGCATTCTAGATTCCCTTTCAATTTATTAATAATGAAATTTTGGTGAATCATGCGGGTCCAACAAATGAAAGGGCGGCGTGAGTATATTCTCATCAACAAGATTGATTAATTGTTTTTTTATTCGTAACTATTATCATTAATTTCATTTTATTTTAATGTAAAATAGTCAAAAAAATAAAAATCATGACATTGACGACAAAAAATGATGGTAGAAAATTGACTAGACCTGGTACATTTGATTTTTTACAATCATCTGATGAAGAAGATTATGATTATAATAATTTATTATCATCAGTGAATGAAGAATAGGGTGATGATGATGAAGATACTTCCTTCAACAAATAGGGGTTTTTTAAGCAGGGTTGGCAATGAATCCGGCCCATTGAAGCTGATGTATTTTGGCCGGTCTATTAGCATTAGTAAAATATTGAATATGTTTAATATGATATGCCAATAGTTTCAATGGACTGGTCCATTGCCAGCCCTGGTTTGAAGCGCACATCTTCTCTTTCGGAACCAAATAACAATACTTCTAGTACGTTTGTCGATGGGTGCCTGGTTCTCTCGTCTTGATCGTTTTTCAAAAAGAATAATTCGCGTCCAAAGAAATAAAAAAAGAGGGACTTATTCGTACAACACATGGTATAAATAGATTTTACCATTCAGTATAATAGATAACCTGGATGAAGATGAACTTTTGGAACTTTTGGAAGCATTCGATGAATTAAATTTTAAAGGGTTGATTGATTATTTACAAAGTTATTTGATCAATGAAAAAAAATAAATGGATTCAAGAAAACATAGCTTGCGTTTGTAAAGTTTCATCAAGACATCAATTGTTTGGTTTGTTCCGGGATTGGCAATAGACTGGTCCATTGAGATCAAAGAGTTTTGGTCTGGTCCATTACAATGATTATTGCAAGGAATTAATTTATAGAAACCCGAAATGGTTTAAAATCCAATGGTTGAAGAAACATAACTTGTTGGAAAGAGATGATTTAGAATTAGATGAGATTGATATTTGGAATTTCAATTTGTTAGATTTAACAACATTTCCTCGGGTGACTTTTATGAGAAAATCAGGCCATAAAGCTTTTAATAATGAATTATATGAAGAACTCTCCAACATTATTCTAATTCTGAAAAGATTATAACCCAAGTTACATCTTCAAAAGGGTCCAAGGACAAAAATCGAGAGGGAAAGTTGTTAAATTTGAAATTAAAAATTGATTTGATTGGCCAGAAAAATATGGTCATTATAATGAAAATAATGCACCATATAATTTTAGATTAATTTATATTGGAAGTCAAGATGGATTCCCAAAATCGGTTTTTGAGAATAAATGTTTTGACATTGCCATGAATATTAAAAAAAACGGGTGAATTTGGGTACAACAATTGTTGCATTTTAAGAATTTATTTCCAAAATGCTATGACAATTTTCTATAATTTTTTAACTAACAACTAGAATCAACGTCATTTTTTTTAATAGTGACGAGTAAAAAAGCTCTTAAATTTCTCTTGCTCTAACAATATTTGCCTGCTTTTGTCTTCTGCTAGTAATAGTAATTTATAGATCACGGGAAATTCGTAAATATAAGTTACGTGACGAAGATCAACACGCATTTATTAACATTAACATAATAATAATCACTATTATTAATATTAATATGTAAATAGAAATTCCGATGTGTGTAATAAATTCAAGCATTATTAATCCAAAATAAAACTGTCATATTGATAGAAGTTCTATATGTAAAGATGGCAAAAAGCAAAATTCATTTATATTTTTTTTCATATATTCATGTATTTATCAATACACAAAAAGGAAAAATAAACCGGCTTTCTGAATGTTAAGCCATAATTTTTTTACTTTATTATTATAAGCAATTAACTGAAATCACTTCTATTTGAACTGCTTCAATAATCTGAATTTTTATTTAACAATTAGACATTATAATAAATAATTACAGAGCCAATCATATTAATATTAACATTTACGGTAGTCGAAATTATTTACTATTACGGGTTTTAACTCCCATAATAGTAATAGTAATAATAATAATAATAATAATTAATTACGGATTTAGAATAATAACTCCGTAATAATTACGAAGTTGATTCTTATTAATATGAAACAAATAATATCAAAACAATTCATTGGCACGGTAAATATGGGTGATTTTAACTCCGCTTACAAGCAATTAAATTCACCGATTCTTGGTATTGGTTTTTTAAAAACAACAGTTTGATTTGATTTTTAATTTGCAAGCTCCAATTCATTTTTCTTGTACAACTAGAACTGTTGGTTTATTTTCATTTCATTCATTCATTCATTCAGATTACTAACATTTTATGATGCAAGTCACTTAGTCCCATAACTTTTTATTGGTCGTGTAGATTTTCAAATTCTCCAAAAATGGAAATGCAAAACCCCAAAATAAATCGTGTATTTGAAGCCAAGACCTTCCTCTACAAAATCACGATTTGCACAAGTTTACCGAATTTACTATGTTTAGCCCTAAAATGACGTGTTACACACAAAAAGTTAATATCAAAAATAGACGAATTGAAACAAAATAAAAATTGAAAAATTTCCAGATCTTTTGTCACGTGAATTTTCCAGATGAACGGGAAGAGAATTATCCTTTATTATTAAAAAAAATAAATACAAAGTTCATTTATTTTAAATCTAATAAATAGACTATTGCATTAATCAAAGAAATGTGCAATTTGCAAAATATTCTAATGAACGTTTATCAATTATTTAATAGTTTGTGTAGGAGTAATCGAAGTAAGCTTTAAGGACAAGCAAGATCTATGAACAAAATATACTAACAAACATTTTATTAATCATTCAATAGTTTATATAAATTTCTCTTTTATTTTAACTGATATTTAATAACATCACTATAATCACTATTGTTGTTGTTTATTGTTCTAATCATCATTTACATATGTATATATAGGAATAAAATGTAAAAGAAAAATTTAATATATTTATTTAGCACTTGACAATTTTCAAAAATCTTGTGGCTGTAAAATTTTTATTGCATTTTTGATTGGAAATTTTTTCTCAAAATTGGCAATGTGGCACAGAAAGTTGTGGGACTAAGTGACTTGTACTATATACAGTCAGCGCTCGATATAGTGAAGTTTTGGCTAGTACAAATTTGGAAACCATCTTCTGAAAAATTGAATTTGATTGGATATTAACGCAGATAGTTTCCAAATTTGCACTAGCCAAAACTTCACTATATCGAGCGCCGACTTATAATTCATTGACAACATCACGTGAATTACATATCCTTACTTTTATAGCATGGTGGAACAGGAGAGAACGTACTGGGAACACAAAATTAACAGGAGGGAATACAAAATTTTAACCCATGCAATTTGTTGATTGACCAATTAAAATCGCGAATTTGATAA